TAAGAAGGGATCCTCTTTGCCGCGACAGCAAAACTGAGACTCGTCATAGGCTGCAGCCTACTTTTTCAGCTGCTGCTGCTCTTTTTGTCTTCTTGTCTTTTCGTCTTCGTTGCTCATCGAGTAGAGAATTGTTCCCTTCATCCTTCCACTACTGAAGATAATAGTACTCATAAGGTCTGCGTGCTTTCGCTTGTTTCAACGGATCTCGTCCTCTATATAGGTGGATTACTGGCTGCGGTTATTCGTTTCAGACTTCTACCATAGTTTATCTCGTTCAGCCTTTGATGGGAAATGCATCTATATAGATCATTATGGGGATTGAGCAGCTACCCAGACCTTGGGTAGCTCAGGGTCGTGTATGTTGACTAAAGATCTGAAAAACCCATTCGCGTGACGTGAAATGCTCGGAGATGACATAGCTCGTTGTGGAGAAACTCCATGCGCTTTATGATGGCCAAATTACGACAATATGTCCTACCGGATTTTAGTGAGGCTTCGATCTCCAATTTGTTTTTTATCGGCCAGTGCTAAATGATGCTGTTGGCGCACAGATTTTTCGTTCCAGGTCATGAGCTGGAAATGCTGCCTCATTCGTGCTGCGATTCGAACCTTGAGTCTTCAGCCTTAAAGGCGAAGAGTATTAAATTCATAGCGTTAGTCACCTCTTCCCTTTGTTTGTTGCCTTTTGTTTTTAACTCACTGTTTACAGCTATTGCTCTTTTGCAGATTCCATGCACATTTAGCATGAACGAAGACGAAATCATTTCGGCTTTAAAGTCTGTTGATGAGGATTACGCTGAAATTGAACGATATGGTCGTCTGATCGAACAGCGAGCAAGATGTGATATGAACAAAGGTATGGATGGGCATTCGATTATGGATGGACCACAGATATGTATAGAGTAATTAGCACAGGTGATACATGGCTGGATGAAGGCATTGTCGAAACTTTGTACAAATTAATCTGCAAAAGAGTCTTCTTGTTTTCCAAGGAAATGGAATTAGCTTCTTGGTAAGCAACAAAGTATTTATTTTCAAAAATCGTCTAAAAATGATATTTTTGTCGGTTATGTGGATTATCATCGGTACCCTGAAAATCCTTGAAATAATTTTCGCAAGGACAAAGGCAAAGCATTTTATGTACCTATACAAAACATTTACCTGCAAATTTCGAACCGTATTTCACTGTTCTTCTGCATGGCCTGTACGAGTCCACACGGATGTTCCGTCTTCAGTCAAATAATATTCGAAACCTTGAGGTTGAATTTAGAATGAATTTGTTTCATAAGCCTTTTTCTGCGTTGCTCGATGTTACAATCACGTTAAAAGATTTTAGAGAAAAACGGTTGAATTTATGTTGTAATAGCTGCTTCTCTGTTCCGGATTCAGCACTGCTTGTTTTTAACTGGTATTGAGAATGTTTAGCCTAAAATATGAAAGCGATGTACGAATTCACGAGAGTACTTCGATGTTGGACTCATGGAAGACTGGTTCTTACTATGACGTTAGAACCATGTTATTGTTCAATCCAGTTGGTTATAAAAGTCATCCCTTTTTCAAGAAGCGCGCTGACTGATTGCATTAGCTTCTGCGTTTTAGCTCTTGGAGTATGGCAGATATTGAAAAGTATGTTAAAGAGCTGCGGATGTCCATTTGTATTGAAATCGTGGATCACAGTAACCTCGCCTGCTCGCACAGATAGGCCAGTCGCCTTATGTGTACAGTAACGTTATCATATATTTGTGGTTGGAGTTACTGTTACTGTGCTGTGGGTTGTACAACTACCATTATGAAAAATTGCGAAGTTGCCTGAACAAGAATACGAAATGTTTTTTAAGGACATTTTCAGGTTATAGATTTTATCCCTGAACTTGGGTGGGAATCACGCATATTCCTAAAATGTTATCACTTTAATGGACTCACTGAATAAGTCTCACTTCTCTCCTCAGCTTTCTCAATTGCGCATTGAGTTGTGTTAAGGTCAGCTGCTGCTTTTCGTGTGTGACTCATGTAGAGGGAAGCGCGACTGTGTCGGTCAAAACGGTAATCCTTCATCCACTGCTTGTTAACGTTTCGCCCAGCAAAATCCAGATACTTGCTGTTCAGAAGTCATATAACGCTTGACCGTCCTACTATCATTAAGCTGACTCATAGATTCCAACCGTTTATAGAAAATATATTTGAAGATATTCTGTTCTTTCATTATGTCTACTGCTTTGTATGTTTTACTTCGGTTACTGCTATTAGTCTTATCACTTAAACAGCTGATTGCGCTTTCAATCTTGTATGAACCACTTAAACAGAGTAACTTGAACTCAGGTAGCAGACACGGTTAAGCTGTCTTAAAATTTACGAAGTAATTTTTGCCGATGAAAAGTCGATTGCTCGTCAGTAATCTCTTACGCTTTCTAGTTATCGGGAACGTCAGCTAAACGCCGTTCATTCAGAAGTCGAGTTTCGATTGCGGTGTATCGTGGAGAAGCCAGGTATGCTCTTGTCTGTTTTGTCTTTTACATTCTAAGTTTCATTCTTTAATCCATTTGCTGCTTACAGATGAGATAAAAACTGATGAGGACGCGAATATGGAGGCATTGTTACTGCAGAAGCTGTTGAAGGTCATCGATGAAAAGTCATACTTAGACGAAACGGATTCCCCATTTTACAGCAACCCTGCCAGAGTCGATCATCTACAAAGCATACTGGTCAAGGCCAGTGACCGATCGAAGGGTGAGTTTTTGCAGAATTTAGACTTGAAGAATTTTCCGAAAGAATCGTGTGCCTCTGATGCTACTGTTTTATTCAGAAAAATGGGCCTTCAGAATAACGTTGACCAGTACCTTCTGTCTACTGAGATCGGAGTAGCTTACTGGGTTTGCGCTGGGTTTACAGTTAAAATATTGCCATTTTCAGCCATGCTCAGGTGTCTTTCTTTTCATTCTTCCAATGCAGATGTATTATTAGTACTTTAATTGAAGGTAACGGTAGAACCATCTATAGTGTTCGTCTTGCTGTATTTCCTTTGAAAAACGAAGTGGTTAGTGCTGCTCTCATCTACAGCGTTTATAAACGCATCAACATAGGGCTCATTTTCGAAGTATGGCAAAGACAGACATAAAAAATTTAGTAAACCCATTTATTATTATCTCTCTTCAGTTATCTTTTCATTGTATTCGGTTAGGTGCTAAATTTCTTCATGCAGGTGACCGAAGTTGACTACTTCGCTTGATTTATACAGACGAACAGTTACATTCGGTTCGTGCTTCCACCGCTGTAACTTGTTCGTAAGCTCTATCGAGGACCGTGAAGCAGACATGAGCTTCCTTCCAATATTCCTTGCGTTGTTCCAGAACCAACGGTTCTGATCAATCCGTTTAACTGCTCCTGGCGCAAAGGCCATATTGCTCGTCTTGAGTCCTCTGCTCTACCACTTTTCAGCACATTTCTTTCACGGCACTTTACACAGACTTTTCCGTGGAAGTCAACCAGAAAGCTCTGACGTGCACTGGTACTTGCCGCAGTTGATCTGATTACCTTCTTTGGCATTAAAGGAAAAAAGTAGTTTTTAGGCGTTGGGATGTCAGTCTCCCTTTCAGTTTCGTAATTGTGACCCTCTGACGCTTTTT